TTAGGGATATAGACCCTCTCAACAAGGTCCCTTTTAAGAGAGCCATAAGTAGGGGTTAAGAAGGGTCCCCTTTCAGGTGTCTCCCTAATACTACCTCGGAGGGCTGAGGGCGCCCACGAGATTGGCGATTTCGGATTTCGGATCGCCGGCGGCGTAAGCACCCAAAGGGTCCTAAGTACCTGTATTGTAGAATGTGAAGTTTCTATACTAGAAATTACTATCATGGTTTGGGCAAGTATCCCCCACATAAGTACTTAAGACCCTTTGGGGCAGGCACAACTATCTGGTCAGGCTCTGTAGCCAACATCGGACGCCTCGCTTATTAAACTGCGGCGACACTCCAGCTCACTGTGATCGTGAGCAGGCTACTGACTGCCACTACGGTTTAGGGTTTAGGGTTTAGGGTTTAGGGGCCAGTGCTGAGCCTAAAGCTAAACCCTGACCCCAAACGACCGTTACGATCATCAGCGCAATTTGCTGGATGACTTTACTTTCTCAACATAGTGCCGGAGTGTCTATATTATGACTCTAAACCCTAAACCCTAAACCCTAAACCCAATATTCAAGTTTCGAGGGCCTTTCGTCTGTACTAGAAGATGGGACCCTCTGCTGAAGACCCAACGACTTCAGAACCCCCCCGCTACCCCCAACTCATGACTGATAGGGTTTAGGGTTTAGGGTTTAGGGTTCAGGGTTTAGGGTTTAGGGTTCAGGGTTTAGGGTTTAGGGTTTAGGGCCTAATAGGGTTTTCTACGCCCTCAACAGTGAGCCCCAAATCCCCCAACCCCAATCCCAAACCCAACTCGTGTGCATCTCCAGGGTGCATCCAAGGGGACTGGTACATGTCTTTGACCTCGAAACAGGAACACAGAAACCCACAAACCCCCCTTGATATACGGGATTTTGAAGTAATCAGGGAGCAAAAAGTACAGACGTTCAGTTTATTATGGTGGTCCAAAAACCGCATTGTATTCCAAAATGCAGGATACAAGGTTTAGGGACGTACCCCAAATCCTGCTACAGATCCCTCTAGACCTGAAGGTGTCATGCTTTAGGATTTAGGGGTCTAGGGGTTAGGGGTTTAGGTTTTAGGGGCTTAGGGTTTTGGAGTCTCTGGGAAACGCCCTAAAACCAGACTCCCTGAGTGCCGACAGACATTGCATGCGGAGCAGTAGTGCATACCGTTGCAGTTGTGTCAGGCCTATGCGAGCAGTGCAAAACGTCTCTCTTTTTGTGAAAATGGGACGGCCGATGCGGGACCACTTGACTGCCGTGGTGATCAACTTGCTGGCCCCCATCACCACTGCGGGCTCGGGTTGCTGTGCCCGGGGCGTCGGCTCCCAAGCGTCGCGGTAAAATCCTGAAAGCCTAAACCCGAAACCTTAACCTAAACCCTAAACCCGAAAGCCTTAAAGCCTTCGAGCCCTCGATCCCGGCAAGCCCCACACGCCCGAAACCCTCCGGTTTCGGGTTTAGGGTTTAGGGTGCTTGGTGCGTTTAGGGCTTAGGGTGCTTTGGGTTTAGGACCCTAAACCCTAAACCCTAAACCCTAAACCCTAATTTAGGGTTTAGCGTTTAGGGCGTGTAGGGTTTTGGGTGCTGCTCCGACACCCGAATCCTAAATCCCTGGCACTGAGCGCCATAAACCCTTGAAGCCCTGAGCAGTTAAATCCTGAAAGCCCTTGAGGGTTTAGGGTTTAGGGTTTAGGGTTTAGAAACAGACCCAGAAACCCCAATCTGGAGGACCTTAATACCCAAAAAAAGCGCGCGAGAAGTCCGAAACCACAAGCCCACCGTTCCCAAAATGACGAAAACTCCTAGAGGCTAAAATTCCCTCCTACGGCCGAAGCCCGGCAAATCCCTCATCCCTGCAACCCTACACCCGAAAGCCAGAAAAAGAACTCCCAAACCCCTCGCAAAATCCTTAAATGCACCGTTGTAGGAACCAAGGGCCCGTGATCAACCCTTATAGACCCCCCGCCAAACCGCAAACCCTAAACCCAAAGCCTAAAGCCCCTAAACCCCAAATCACAAGGGAGCCCGGGTCACTGAGCCAACCCCGAACACGGTCACTTGGCCAATCGGAGAGCGCATCCTTTTTCAGGTCACTTAGCAAACCCCGAGCGGTCACTTAGCCAACTCTCGATTTTTTGGCTTGGGGTTACCTTTTCGGATTTGGGGTGTCCCTTGCGGTTTCGGGATTAGGGTTTAGGGATTAGGGTTTAGGGTTTCCTTTTAGGGTTTAGGGTTTAGGGTTTCGGGTTTATGGTTTCCTTTTCGGGTTTAGGGTTCAGGGTTTAGGGTTTAGGGTTTCCTTTCAGGGTTTAAGGTTTAGGGTTTAGGGTTTAGGGTTTCCTTTTAGGGTTTAGGGTTTCTTTTCAGGGTTTAAGGTTTAGGGTTTAGGGTTTAGGTTTCCTTTTAGGGTTTAGGCTTCAGGGTTTA